GCCCTTGGGTGAGCGTCAGGTTTCTGGCTGGCGTGGGGCTGAGAAGTGCGGCACAGGCTTGGACGCGCCCGGCTAATGAGTCTTGGTGCCCATCTTGCCCCCACACACAATCCGAACGTCTCCCCCAGAGCAGCAATCTGGTACAGCTTCCCAACCTGGTTCCATTCTGTGGAAGCACAGATTGAAAATAGGTTCACTGAGGAGGAAAAAAGGGTTTTGTATGCAAGTGAGTTTAAAAGGTGTTGGGTAAACAAAATGATAATTTTTTTCACACACTCATAACCACCTTTTATTGTCTGTTCTTTCATTCAAAGTGCATTGCTGGGTTTGTCAGGGCTCTAGGACACAGGCACACAGTTGAATCTCCAAGAGAGGACAGAGAAGAAAGGTGCAGTATTTCCCTTGGAACCAGCTTGGGGCACTTAGAGTAGGATCTCAGGAACGCTGAAGAGAGTGGCTCTGTTCCCTTTGTCGTGTACTCTGGTCCCAGACCCTCAGGCACAGACGCAGCAGGCAAGGTCACAGCCGCCTTCTATTGCCTGCCCACTCATTCAGGAGAGGCCATTGCCCTTGCAGGCTCCACAGCAGTCTGGCTCTCTGCTGCCTCTCCCGCCCTCCAACTAGTGTGTTTCCTGCTTTGCAGCTGCCTTGATGTCGTCTCTACTCCAAGAAAGCTGGTCGCAGCAGTTCTCCTCTACTGGAGGGTTCCCGCCTCCCCTGCCTCCTGCCCAGCACCTCTCTCTACCAACGTCCCCCCTATGGCAGGCCTCTCGGGCCACAGCGCGAGGGTAGCTGTTACCATGCTCCTAGTTAAAAAGCCATGGAACTGTATTCTTCAAGTAATCCGCTGTGTGAGCTGTTCACTAACTCAGCCTGGCCTTGTGCCCCACCTTGTCTGTCAGCATGGTTTGGTTTGGCTTCAAGGCCAGAGCAATGGAGAGGACAGCTTTTATGTCCTCGTACTCTACGTGAGCCTAGCTTGGCACAGAGAATAGGTGGAGTGCCTGGAATCCTCACCCCAAAGATCTGCTTGGTTTGGGCCAGCCCAGTTTCCCCGAACCTACTTTCTCTTTCTTCCCAGGTAAAAGCATCTACGGTGAACGCTTCCCAGATGAGAACTTCAAACTGAAACATTATGGGCCTGGCTGGGTGAGCATGGCCAACGCAGGCAAAGACACTAACGGCTCCCAGTTCTTTATCACAACGGTCAAGACAGCCTGGCTAGATGGCAAGCACGTAGTGTTCGGCAAAGTTCTAGAGGGCATGGTAAGTCTCAGAGGCAGGGGCTAAACCTGGGCAAACCTCACGCACCTGACACAAGCCCTGGGGCAGCACTCCCATATATTTCATCCCTTTCCCAAAAGGGAACCCACAGATTTAGACCAGTGTTCATGTCTACCTGGGGGAGACCAAGAAGTAGCCTATTTCTCTATAGCCCCAAGTTCTAAGTCCTTCCAGGCCCTTGGCAGAGGCCAGCCTAGAAGCCTTGTTGAGGCTGCGTAGCTGCAGGAACCCCCGTCCACTCACTCAGTGAGATGTGCTGGCACCACCCAGGGTTGTACAGGGCACAGCTGAGCACCATGTCTCTGAGAAGCCCCTTGGGACCCACTCCCTGGCCACCTTTCTTCCTCTTCACCTATGGCGAACCTGGGTCTTACTTCAAAGGATCAAAAATGCTGCTTCAAAGCTGGGTTCTGACTGCCCTGGGCTGCCATCTGGCCAGGATTCCATTAGGATTTTGGTGCCTCCAGGCTTGTGTGCTGTTCATCACATGGGGGTTGGGGGGGAATCTCATCCTTCCAAGGCCATACACTTTTGGTTGTCTGACCTCTTGACCCACTCTGCCTTCCTGCTTCCACCTTTCCTTCCAGGAGGTAGTGCGGAAGGTGGAGAGCACCAAGACAGATGGTCGGGACAAGCCCTTGAAAGATGTGACAGTTGCAGACTGTGGCAAGATCGAGGTGGAAAAGCCCTTTGCCATCGCCAAAGAGTAGGGCCCCAGGACGTCTTCTCTTTGAGCCGCTGTCTGTGCGGGCCTGTTGCCTTCCCTGGGTGAAGACAGCCCGCTATGGGCTCTGTGCTGCACTGGCCCTAGTGCTGGCATCTGACAGAGCGGAACCCTCCCTTTACATTCCACGGCCCGGTTTTGTAACAAACTCCTACCAACACTGATCAATAAAGGGAAAAAGGTGGGGTTTTTTTTTTTAATAACCTGTGTGTGGGCTTGGTTCTTAATCTCCCCCAAGTCTACGTCCCAGCACGTCTGGGTCTCCTTTGGCAGTGCGTGCCTGTCCCTTCCCGGGGCTCTGACCTGAACCCTTCCCCGCAAAATGTCAAGCAGGAACTTTTGCTCCCTGCTTCTAAACTTGGCCAGCTACTGTGCCTCAAGGAAGTAGCTTGCCCCCCCCTCCACCTTCTGGTGGGGGTGAAGAAATGCACCTGCACCCTCTCATAGCCTACCTCTGAATTGGCTCCTCCTTTTATTCCCTACCCTCTGTGTCCCTGCTCCAGCCCCGCTACCAGCGCAGCAACTACCTTCTAGGGGGCTCACAGGGCT